TCAGAAAATAAATCAGATAAAAAATATTAAATTTAAAAGAAAATTATCATTTATAGATCTTATATTATATATATATCTATATCTCTCTGCTAATTTAATTATTGTCATCTTTCTCGATATATCTTTATTTTTACATAATCTTCTAAATCCCTACTATATTCTTTAAGATAATTTTTCTATAAATATTAATTCTTTTCTCAAATCTTCCCTTCTATGATTTTCATATTAAAAAAAAATATCTATAATATTAATTTAAATTCTCATATCTTAATATTCTTATCGACATATCTTTATCTCTCAATTCATCACGGGCCATGCTTTTGAATATATTCATCTATATCATCCCATCATTCTAAATGATAAGTTCTTCAATTTCTCATATTATTAATAAATCGATAATTCCTATTCCTTCCCATTCATAATTCTTCCATCTCATATCTTCATCTTCAATATAATATTCCCCATGATATTCAAATTATCATTTATATCTCTATAATATATTTCCTATTCCTCCCAATCATTCCATATTATTCCATGATCCTCAATACGATATCTTCCAAAATAACCAGATTATCTCCTATATCTTTGTAATATATTTCCAAGAATTCTCCCAATCATTCTATATTATTCTCACTTTTCCATGATATACCCCTCAATTTCAAATCTCATTACCCAGATATCCTCCACCAATTCCACAATACTACCGATATTCCACTAATGAAAATCCCTACTCCCTCACTTCCTTCATCCCTTAATTGATTCCCACTCCAAAACTTTGTATGAACCACGTCATTCTAGAATAATCCCCATAATCCTTTCCCATATATACCTTATCCCCACCACCTTCCTTTACTCCTCGTCCTCGCATCCATCATTCCACGATATTCCTTTCGAACATACGCCGCTACCTCCCCACGATACGACCCGCCCTCCCCCACACTCCCGAAATATATTTTCATCATCCATCCAGAAATATTCATAACATTTTTATGACACGCTTCATATATTTGTTTATTATTATAAATAAAATCGATAGAGTTTGAAATTTATCGAAAGATATTATAATATAAAATAAAAGATAATATCGAAATATAGAAATTAAATTTTCTAATAATTTAGTGCGGTATAAAATCATTCTTTTAATACGAAATCCCGAGAGGCTCCCAATATTTCCAAAATTTCGCACGACAGAAGAAACTAATACGACTCACGAGCCATCCAACACGATCTAAATTCCCAATATTTTCGTAAATTTCGTAACGAGAAATCATCTTATCCAAATCCGAGACCAGAAGAAATACGTAGAATATCCTATAGAATGAATATTTCGATTTATATTAATTTTCGACTTATCGAACCTATTCGATCGAATTCCTTATAAAAATCAATATATATATATATAT